TGGGATGTCCAGAGCAAAAGACTTGGACCTTGGAATTAGTAAGCTGGTTGCAGTTCCTTCTTATCTTTTTCATCCTTCTTTTGGTGCCGGTACTGGGTCTTGAACTCAGGGCCTAGGCTGTCTCTTGGCTTTTTCACTCAGAGTTGCCACTCTATCACTTTAACCACAGCTCGACTTTCAGCTTTTTTGGTGGTTAATTGGAATCTCACTGACTTTTTTTGCCTAGGCTGGCTCTGAACCTTGATCTTTAGTTCTCAAGCCTCCTGAGTAGCTAGGGTTTCAGGCATGAGCAACCTGCACCTGGATACATTTTTAAAAAATTCAATAATAAGGTGAGACTGAATTGAAGATGGAAAGATTTGTAATGCCAAGAAAGAGAGGAAGTGAAGCAAGCTAGGTAATAAAATCTGCATGGGAAAACCCCTTGATAAAAAGGAGAAGTGGAACAAACAGTTGTCTATGCATTTAGCCTTGAAAGTAATTTTCTAGACTAACTAAACTAATTCTATCTGATTTAACTTTGTGTAGCTTGAATTCAGTGCCTGGTTGCTGTCCTTCAGCTTTTTTACTCCAGGCGAGCATTCTACCATTTGACCCACAGCTTCACTTTCAGCTTTCTGGTGGATAGTTGGAGATAAGAATCTCTTGGATTTGGGGCTGGGAAGTTGGCTCAGTGGTAGAGCGCTTGCCTTGCATGCCTGAGGCCCTGGGTTCCATTCCTCAGCACCACATAAGCAAAAAGAAAAAAACCAGAAGTGGCTCTGGCTCAAGTGGTAGAGCGCTAGCCTTGAGCTGAAGAGCTGAGGGACAGCACTCAGGCCCAGAGTTCAGGCACCACAACCGGACCCAAAAGAAGAATCTCTTGGATTTGTCTGCCCAAGCTAGCTTTAAACCATGATCCTCAGATCTCAACCTCTTAGATTAGCTAGGATTACAAGTGGGCCACCAGTGCCCAGCTTCTATTTCTAAACTATCTAGCATCTCTGCTGCTGCTGACCTAGCCTTAACCACCCTGCAATAAGTGGAAGTCTTAGAGGAACAGACTTGGGATAGGAGGCAGGTAAAGGATAGTGTGTCGGAAAGATCACTGATATGGGACCAGTAACTTTGGAATCACTGAGTACTCATCAGCTATCATGCTCTTTTTCAGTAATAGCATATGCTAAAATTGTACTTAGCATATGGCAATACTGTTCAAAGTGCTTTGGGGTATCTTAACCCTTGAATCCTCATGGCCATTTTATGTACATTTTACATCCAAGAATAATAAGCAATTTGTCTGAAGTCAGAGTTGGTACCTTGGTCAAATTACAGCTTCATGATGTTGTAGGGTATCACAGTCTTGAAGGCAAAGGGAACCCCAGGGGAATTTAATTGTTTCAGAGAGGGGTCCACCAAGTGGACCTGATAGGCCAGGAGTTTGTGATATGTAATCACATATCAGGGCTGAACTGTAAGCCTTTCTTTCTCTCCAAAGCAAAAGTTTTGAGGGTTTTTTGGCCTGCATCTTGGTTGTATTCTAGTTAGAAAACGGTTTCTGATGTGCCGCTCCTCGTGCCCTGGTGCCTTCCTCTGAAGGTAAATGGAGTCGGCTGTCACCCTTGAAGGCATCATGTTGGCAGAACTCAAAACACTTTAATCCTGCAGCACTTGCCAAGGACATTGATTTGCTGGTAGAATACCAGGGAAACACTGAAGACAGGTTGAGCATTTGCTGGTGCTAATGAATTTGTCAAGCATCTAAATCCAAGGCTGGTGCATACTTATGGTGCTCTGGAATATATCTTAACTTTTATAAAAGGTGAATGTCCCAACAACATTACCTTTTGAACTGATGTTTGAACCAGAAGAGGCATAAAATTCCCTACATCAACTCATTAGCTCCCAATTCAAGGGGAAAAAAAGTAATATTAAGGATCACAAGTCTGAGGATCTATTGTACTACATAGCAAGACCTTAGCTCTAAATCAGTCAATCAAGCACTATTCTAAATAATAAATATCTTATTTACTTGGCCTAGGCCAATTAAGAATTGAAGGTAAAGTAAATAACTGAGCTCCTGGAAATTGTATGTGAACTAGATGCATTATAAATGTGCCACTTAACTAAAATGTGTATTGACTGGATTAGTAATGATGTGTCTTTGATCATGGTAAATACAAGTGTTGACATCCATCCAAGCCACAGAACTGACTTGAAGGCCAAAATGAAATAGAAAGCTGTGTGGAGTCAAGAGAGCATGTCCTATATAGCCTTTCACTAATTAATAAACACTGGCCTCTGGTCTGTTGTTGCCTAATTGCAACACATTGGCCAAAGTCTTTTTTTTCACTTTGAGGGAGGGAAGTTTTTTAAGACAGGTTAAAATGAGAAATCAGCAACCTAATTTTTTATTAACGGGAATGAAGAAAGAAGAGATAAACATACATTTGGAGCAAATAATCCCTTCTAGGATGAGCCTACAACCATATTCATGAGATATCCCAATAATTGATTATGAAAAATCTCAAAAGTATCAAAAACGAAAAAAGTTGTAGAGTGGTCACCTGCCAATCAGCCGCCTAGATTGCACAAGTAATATTTTACTGTAATTTCATTATTTCGTATCTAGCCACATGGCCATCTTCCAGTCTATCTTCTCTCAATGGATATATTTCAAGGCAAGTTCATTTGTGGCATTAACCAGTCCACTATGAACATTCCTAATCTAGAAATTAAAAATACTCTAAAATCCAAAACCTTTTTTTGAGCACCCACTTATCACCCAAGTGAGGGGGAAAAATCCACACCTGAGCTCATGTAACAACAGGTTGTATTCAAAAAGCAGGTGCACTAAAAACATTGTATAAAGCAACCTCCAGGCAATGTGTATAAAACATATATGAAACTTAAACAAATTTGGTGTTTAGACTTGGATCCCATCCCTGAGATATCTCATTACATATATGCAAATATTCCAAACTCTGAAAAATGTCTGAAATCAGAAATACCTGTGGTCCCAAGAAGACACTCAACCTGTATTTGATTTTAGCTCCTGCTTTTTTACGTAAAGCTTATACACTGTACACATTTCAGTATCTCTAACCCCTATTCTACTGTGTTACCATTGTCCCACACCCTCCCCTCCTGTTCCTTCCCTGGTCCTATATCAATCTCTGGAAACAATTGTGATGATAGATTTTTTTTTTTATAATGTCCAAGGGATGTTGAAGTTAACTGAGGGTGGAAAGCATAAAAATATCAGTTGTTCCTGATTTATTTGAGGAGCAGTGACACACAGGAATATGGGCGATTTCTGCAGCCAGTCCGTGGGCTTAAATTTTGGCTCAGCCATTGGCCAGCTGTGCAGCTCTTGAATCACTCATCTACCTTCTGTGTCCTTCAGTTTCTTTCCCTATAAGGGAGGTGCTAATAGCTGCTCACTTTCCAGGTTTGTGGAAATGAATGAGTTGAAACTGCTAAAGCTCTTAGAAAAAATTCACACTCATTTCGCCTTCAACTCCATCAATTGCCAACTCCAATATCTTGGGCAGACTAGTCACATATTTTCTTATTCTCATTGTACTCATCTGTGAAATAGAAATGAGACCACTTAACAGAGAAGTAAAAGAGAACTAAGTAAAAGCAAAATAATAGATGTAAATCACTTTCCAGAGTCCTACACAGAAACTTCTTTTTGTTTTACTCTTACTAATTAAAGTCCATACTTATATTTTCTTAGTGGTTACTTGATGTTATTTTCAGCTGCAGAATCTCTTCCTGGGTGACCGTTTACATTCAGTTTCTAGTCTTCTTAGAATCCTCTAGAATGTGGCCGTGTCTCACACGGTATTTGGTGACCTTGACAATGTGGAAAAACATAGAATCAGTTGTCTTATGGAATGTTCTCCAATATTTTTCTTTCTTTCTCTCTTAATGGTTTGCTTGCTTGTGTGTGTCTGTGTGTGTCTGTGTGTGTCTGTATATGTATGTGTGTGATGGTACTGAGGCTTGAATTCAACGTCTAGCATTCTTGTTTGCTCTTTTTACAAAATGCTAATGCTCGACCACTTGAGTCACATACCCCTTTCTAGTTTTTTGTTGGCTTATTGGAGATAAGATTCTCACAGACTTTCTGCCCAGGCTGGCTTTGAATCATGAGCCTCAGATCTTAGCCTCCAGAGTAGCTAGGATTACAGACATGAACTACCAGCTGCTGGCCAATATTTGCCTTATAATAAGAAAAACACAAACTGGGAACAGTCCATAAGATGTCTTCATCATCTCACATCGGTAAATTATAATTTCTGTTGCATCATACCTATACAGGGTCCATGCTACCAATGCAATTTATCAACATTGCCTGCTGCTGAGCTCATCACATGGCTTGGGGAGGGCTGGTCAGATTTTTCAGATTTAAAACTACTCTTTTCACACCTACTCCACCCATATAGGCCCCTGTGTGCAGATCATGCTACACCTCCTGGAAGCCAGAGCATCTTCACAAATTATTTGGAATTCTTCTGCATAGGGTGTTTGCGTATTCATCCTCATCTTATGTATGTATATCAGGGTGAACTTGTGGGCTTTTGTTTTATATTTGCGTTATATGTTAGTGCTGTTATTGAGTTGATTCAGTTGTTCTAGTTCAGGCTGTTAGCAGTTTTGTTGTTGTTGTTGTTTAGGAATATTGAAGGTATTGCATTCACTGTTCCACTCATGTATCCCCAGTGCCCCAGGATGTTCATTCGGTGTACTCTTACTTTCAAGCACATCAGCACTATAAGAAGCGCCATATTTACCTTGGAAACTCCCTTCCTTAGTCTTGGGATCATCTACTTCTGTTATTGAGGAATAGTGTTTGAAACCTGGGATGTGCAGAAACTTGATAGTCACCAGCTCTTGGTTCTATCCTTTATCTTTCTGGCAGTACTAGGGATTGAATGTAGGGCCTTGTGCTTGCTAGGCAAACATTTTTGTCACATTCCTGAATCCTTTTGCTTCTCGTTTGTTTTCCACAGAGGGTCTTTTGCTTTTGCCCAGAGCTGGTCTTGAACCAAGATTCCCCCCCTCCATCTCCTGAGTGGCTGGAATTACAGGCACATGCCACCATGGCCAGCTATCCTTCCCTTTGGTGGATGCTTGGTAAGTGGGGGTAGTAAGCCCAACAGAGTCCTCCTAATATGGATCCTCCTCAGTTGCTCAGTCAATCCCAGTGGCTGAGTTCAGCTCACCCAGAAGACTGGACAGAAGTCAGCCCTGTCAGTCAGTCATGAATTTCACTGAGCTTAATCCAGTTCACACAAATGGTACTAATCAGTAACGACTGTTACTATACATTTCCCTCCTATGTTATTAGTCATATTTCCATTACTCTAAGAACATGCCTGAGATCTCTGCTTATAGAGAGAAAAGATTTATTTTAGCTCATAGTTTAGGAAATTCCAACCCCTAGTTGGGGCCCCATTGCTTTGGGCCTAGAGTAAGGGAGAAAGCACAGGAAGAGAGCAAGGAGCAGACCTAGATCCCATAATCCCCTTGGATTATGACCTAACGACCTTCCACCACCCTCCACCTCTTAAAGTTCTACCGTCTCCCCATAGCACCTTTAATATGTAGACATTTGAGATCCAAACTTTATCATCTGACTTTAGCTATCTAGAAATACAATATATACCATTCCCTTGATGATTTTTTCCTCCGAGAAATCTTTTCATACAGTTTAATTCCATACTTTGAATTCTCTGACAAAAAGGATCAAATATATGCACAATAGAGATATGTGCCCCTAAGTCAACACAGCATTTTACAGACTAATCATTAAAACTCTCATAGCTAGAGCACTAGGTAATTTATATATGATGACCATGTTAGACAACTGAATTGGAAATGCATAATCTAAAATTGCCAAATGATTGCTCAGTCTTCCATCTAGTTCAGGTACCATAGAAAAATGTGTTGTCACCAGAGGGGAATTCTCAGTACTGTATGTAAGTAGCCATAGGACATTCCTCTTTCTTTGTGAGGGCTGGGTTACAAGCTCCTTTCTATTCAGACCAAAAACATGGGAAGGGTTGATGTTCTTCTGCCTCCACTGAGAAACTGTGAGCCTGTATCCTTCTGCTTGTAATAGGTAATGCAGCCTTGGATCAGTTGATTTTGCAAATGTGATGCCTGGGAATATGCTATGCAAATAAGGACAGTAAGGTCACCTCTGGGGCATGGTGTATGGTATTAAGTGTTAGGCGGAATTAGACTCCGAGAAGCTTATATTTCAACTGAAGTCCACCCAAAGCAGTCATATACATGCCCGATCAAGGAGGGTTACAAAGAGGAAGAAATTACTTTCATCCATAACGGGATTGTGAGTTTTCACTGTAATTCCGACAGATAGGTTTACCTTGCCTCCACATGGCGATTTCTTTTGTTTTTATTTGGTCATTTGTGTGTCCCTCCATCAGGCATGGGAACTTTTCCCAACCTCTTTTCCTACTCTTGACCTTGTCCTTGATCCGCTGGCAAATTAACTCTCTGAGATTGTAGGACTTAGAGAAGAGCATTGCAGGCCTTCGAGCCACATGATATACCTTATGTGTTAAATTCACTGTACACTTGAGGAGGCCTCATTTTTTTTTAATTGTCCAAAGGATTTTTTGATGTGGAACCGCTCTGTTTTTTAGCTGATTTCCTGCCGTGTTTAAGCAATCCTTGCAATCCCTCAGCTGTCTCCCATGACCCATTCTTCTCAGGAATGACTGATTTGATCCCTCAGATAGGTTGGTTCAAACAGATTTCCTGAAATCTTCCTTATAGGGCAAAGTGGTCGCCATGTTCCTTGTCCTCATTCTCTTCCTCTTTCTTGTGGTCAGATACCCATAATATTACTGTTCTTACTTCTACATCTGTACAGTTGAGTGGCATGAAATACCTTTACATTATATTAAGTCTGCTATCACCATCACCCAACTCCAGGCTTTTTTCCATCTTCCTGAACTGAAACTCCACATCCACTACAGGGTGCTATCCATTTCCTTGACCCTTAGCAGCTATCATTCCATCCTCTAATTCTATTAATTTGACTATCTTTGTATATTTCAGGTAAATGAAATCATACAGTATTTATCCTTTTGTGCTTGGCTTATTTCATTCAGCAGAATATCCTCAAGGTTCACCCTGTTGTAGGGTGTGTTAGAATTTCTTTCCTCTTCAAGGCTGATTAATAGTTCACTGCATATTTATGTCACATTTCATTTGTCCATTTACCTGTTGACAGACCCTTGACTATTCCTCCCTTTTGGTTATTGTAAGCAATGGTGCTATGAACGTGGCATTTACATGTCCCAAGTCTCTGCTTTCAGTTCTTTTGAGTACATACCCCGATATGAAATTACTACGCCATTCAGTAAGTTTTAAAAAAATTTTGAAAAACTGTCATGGGATTTTTTTCCATAGTAGTTTCACATTTTTTTTTATTCTGACCAGTGGTATAAACAAGTTCTGATTTCTCCACACCAGTGATGTTTGCTGGACTTTTATTTGGTGAGATGTTTGTTTGTACGAAACCATCCTAACAAGCGTGAAATGGTGCCACATGGTACTTTGGGTTGTTACTTTCCCAGTCATTAGTGATGATAAGTCTCTTTTTACCTGCTTATTGGCCATGCATGTATCTCCTTTGGAGAAATGAAGATTCAAATCCTGTGCCTACTTCTAAAATAATTTTTTATTGTTGCATATGAGCCTTGCTGATTGCCTAGATAGTACACTACTCTTGGTTATGATTGAACTTTCACCTGGGCTTCTGAGGGACAGTCTATATTCCCTTTGCATAAATATAAGGCAGAGATGAAAGCACGCTAATTTACCACTCGGGAAACTACAGCTCCATTCTAAGATCCGCCCTTGTCTGTTTATTGTGGAGGAAGTTTACAGTAGCTACTGCACAGTGAAGCCATTGAAGCTTTGGGATACTGTATCCTATTATTTAATCTAGGGTTTGTTTTGTGGTCGATACTGAGGATCAAACTCAGGGTCTTGTGTACACTACGCAGTCATTCCACCACTGACTTGCGCCCCCAACCTGCCAACTAACCTTTTACTGTCAAAAACTATAATGCCTCCTTGGGAAAGGAGGAAGCTAAAGTTTGTCGGTCATCATTTCCACATATAATGATATCTTGAAATCATCAACAGGAGTTGACAAATTCTAGTCCATTGGCCAAACTTTACCTTAACCTACTTTTGTGAATAAAGTTTTATTAACACACTACCCTGCCCACTTGTTTTTTTCATTACTATGGCACATTGCATACAAAGCCTAAAACAATTGATGTCTGGCTCATTATAGGAAAGATTACCGACTCTTGCCTTGCCTGCTTTTCTAGTCCTGGGGCTTGATCTCTGGGCCTGGATACTTTCTCTGAGCGTTTGTAGCTAAAGGCTATGAGATATACTGCTCTTAAGTATTTACTGAACTATGTCCAGCTTTATGTCCAGCGCTGTGGTCCCAAAGCCTCTGTTAATCGAGTGGGGAAACAACTTTGGCATCCTAATCAGTCCTGCAGCCAGATGTGACCCAGCATTTCCTAACACAGCTGGAATCCTTTCAAGTCACAGCCACTCAGTCCATCCTTTCCCTGACTTCTGTCTTAGAGGGCAAAGTAGTCTCGTGTGTCTGCTTTCTCTTCCTCCCTTCTCTCCTTCCTCTTGTCATCGAATACATATTCCTATTCATTCTAAACTTCTGTGAGTAGCTCTGATGGTTAACTACAGTAAGAGGCATTGTAGTAGAGGCACCAGCCCTACACTGTAGAGCCAAGACAGGTTGCTGCCTTGTGCTCCAAAATAGCCCCCTAATTCTCTGCCTGTCCTCAGAGATAGAGAGGAAGCTTTGCTAAAGCAGTCACCATTGATTGTTCAGTTCTGAGGTGCTGTTGGTTTACCGATTTTGTTACACCTTTCCTTTAACCTCTTGACTATAAAGATACAATAAACCATTCAATAAACTTAGGCTAGCTGCTGGAAGAATTGTTAAAGTGCAGAGGTACTATCTTTGGAAAGTTTATACAGTATGGTATTAAACACTGACTTTAAAAAGTTATAGATAATAAATAACCTTTCAGATCCCTGGAAATTCTACACACACACACACACACACACACACACACACACACACACACACACACACACGGACGCACACACGGACGCACACATGCACATATACACACAGGAGATGAGGGAGGGATGGAGAGAGGAAGGAGAGAAAGAAGGAAGGAAGGATCTTAACAAGAAGAAAAAGAGGAAGAGGACAGGATAGGAACTTTTAATACCAGACTGACAGCTATCAGGGATATTCTCCTACATGATTATGCTATCAGGGATATTCTCCTGCATGATTATGGGATGGTCTTTTTGTGTATGTGCCAGTCCTGGGGCTTGAACTTGTGTCCTGGGTACTGTCCCTGAGCTTTTGTTTGGTTTTGCCCAAGGCTAGCACGCTACCACTTGAACCACAGATACACTTTTGGCTTTTTGGTGTTTAATTGGAGATAAGAGTCTTAGGGAATCTTAACTGCCCAGCTGAATGTGTTGATGGGCCTTGACTGCCATGTCTACTGTCAACCAATATGCATGTACTGGGAACTTTGTAGTTCTTTCCCTACCTTTGTAAGGGAAGTCAAAGTTATTTTTCCCCTTAGAATATAGCAATTAGTATTTCTCTTTTGGATTAGACTTCTAGTTCTACAACCTAAAGTGGTTTTAACTATCACTCACTAAGTAATGTGTCTGTCTTAAATTTTGAATTGAAATATTGAAAGTAGAACTCTGGGGAAGACCTTTTTAAAAATGTTTTCCTCAGTCAGTAGTAGCATACTATTCTTTCGTGGGTTATTTGTGGGTTATCTCTGTGTGTGCATGTATGTGCACGCAGATGTGTGCATGCACACTGCACACACACACCCGTCGGCTTATGGGTGTTTAATTGGAGACATGAGTCTCACAGATGTTCCTGCCCTGATTATATTTGAACAGCAGTCCTCAGATCTCAACCTCCAGAGTAGCTAGGATTATAGGTATGAGCTACTAGCACCTAGCTTCAATATTCCTTTTGTTTTATATATTTGCATTTCCCAAGAATAGCTTTC